CATAGTTGAATCCATGGATTTAAAAATCTGTGCATATGGAGGGCTGACTTTAACTGTTTAGAAGTAGAGTTTAGGCCTGCAAAGGGACCAGGGAATGTGAACATAACAAATGGAAGAGTTCTAGGTGTGAAGGATTTTCAATGCCTCACTCTTTGCAACCAGTCAGAGACGTTCATTGCTGCATTGTCTGGACATAGGGCCACCATGAGTCAGTTAACAACTACAACAACTGGAATCTCAGCATGCAAAGGGATCTTGTAGCACCTTTGGGCAAAAGAAGATGTAGCATAAGCTAAGTCTGCTTTTCAGATGCATGGAGTGGACTGGTGCCCACAAAGGACCTTTGTAATCGGATTTTTTATGACTAGCCAAAGAAATGCAAAACTGAGTCTGGTGATGAGGTGACAAGTTGAATGTTAATTGTGATTGTTAAGGGACAAAGGAAGGTGGAAGGATGTTGCCCAAGGCTTGGGTGGATGGATGGCCATAGGAATGGTGGAGGGCCTTTGGGAAGGTGGTTTGTGCAGGCTGGGAACCAGAAAGGAGATGTGATGAACTGGCCATGAGCATCCATCCTCAGGAGGCTGTTGTGCTAACCAAGCTTATAATAGGCGTAGTGTGCCAGGAAACCATTGTTTGCCCTGTTCAAGCCCCTGTTGATGGACTTGACTTTATGGATATATTCCAAGTCAGTTGTTTCTTTTCCCAATCTTCCGATCTTTGCAATGCCATAAATTTGAGGACTAAATGAAACAATTTATGGGGCCAGAATATTTATGGGAGAGTCAATGCCATCATTTTATCCCCCCACCCCCACCCTATAACTACACTTCTATGTAGGGCTGTGGGGTGTAGCGGTGGGGATGGGTCAGGTTCCAGGTATCTGTGGGGATGGATGGTGGGTCTGGAATGATGTTGGGCATCCTTGGGTCCTGGTGGTGTGTTGGGATAAAGGCATCCGGGCATAGAGAGAGTTGCCAGGGTCAATGCCACAGAGCGTGGGGGAAGATGGGTTAGCTGGCCATGTGGCCGTCCAGCACATATTGACTGTGTGGGGTCAATGGGGTTGGCAGTGGTAGGACAAGGAGAGGTCCCAACATCTTTAGTCGTGGCCGTTTCCACCATTCCTTCTTTGTGCAAAGTGGCCCATTATCCCTTCTGTTCCTACAGCACAGAATACTTATCCCCATCAGGCCCCAGGTTTCAAATCCTCCCATTTCTTTCTGTTGTTAGCCTGCAGCAGAGCAGCCAAAAAGTTAGTTCTGTAGCAGAGGAGCAATGCAAACCTAAACCTTTCCCTGTTCTTCATCATCTTCCTTCCTTCCTTCCTTCCTTCCTTTTGGCATTTCACATTACAAGGTCAGGTATTGTCCAGAGCAGGCCACTGAACTTGGTACCAGTCCAGAGTTTCTGGTAATAATCTTTTCCAGACCTGCTACCTGAACAATGTCCTTCAAGCAAAGATAGAACAACGCTGAAGCTCATAAATATTACAAGAAGCAAGCTGCGTACACAGCATGAAAAGCAGAATTACTTTGCAATTCATTGCTCTGAGGAGGCAAAGATGTATTGATGGAGTCAGTGTCAACTGGTTGGCCCAGTTCAGTACACAGCCCTGGTTCTGGTTTAGCATAATGACTGAATTCACATGCTGTGGTTGGCATTTGTTTAACCACAGAAACATATACCAGGGTTTAAAGCAAACCATGGATGGTGCTAGTAAGAATTTGGTGTGAGAGCTGAAGGACGGCTGCCCATCTTTCCCAGGAAGCTGCTGCTGCAATGTGAAGGAACACCCCTTGAAGACAGGAAATTTAAAGAACCAAAATTGCAATTAGCGCCAATCATGGTTTGAGCCCTAGACTATGATTGCCACAAACCATGGTTTGCTATGATCTGCCAAACTTATTGTGAACAATCCAGTAACACTAGGGATGCAATTCTTTGCCAATTTTCTTCTTGAAGGGAGCGATGAATGATTTTAGCAATTTTATTGCTGCAAAAACTGAACCTCTTTCAAAAATTATTTGCAGTTTGAGACTTATTCCGCGCAAAACAATCATATATGATTGCTTCGCACTGAAAACAACATTTTCCTGTGCGAAAACAGACAGCGTATCCTGTGAACAATGGAAAGCATAGAAAAATGCTGTTTTCTATGCAAAACAATGAAATGCAAATTTTGCATCGAATCATGGAATCATAGAGTTGGAAGAGACCCCAAGGGTCACCTGGTCCAACCCCCTTCTGCCATGCAGGAACTCACGATCAAAGCACTCTTTGTTTCAGATGGGCATCCAGCCTCTGCTTAAAAACCTGCAAAGAAGGAGACTCCATCACAATCTGGGACAGCATCTTCCACTGTCAAACAGGTCTTCCTTCCCACCAGGAAGTTCTTCCTAAGGTCTTAGGTGGAATCTCTTTTTCTATACTTTGAATCCATTCTGTCTCCTATTATTCCCAAAAGAGATTCCGCACTAGAAGCAAGTTCACACAGTCTAGCAAAATCTGAATGATTTGCATTCAGTTCAGTTTTCAGCAGTTAGCCAAATGTCTTTCAGCCCCACAGGGTCCTTTTGCAAGGTTTGTTATCAGTACAGATTGAGTTTCCATTAACCAAAATGCTTGGCACCAGAAGTCTTTTGGATTTTAGAGTTTTTCACATTTTGTAATATTTGTATTTACATCATGAGATATCTTAGAGATGGGATCCAAGTCTAAACATGAAATTATTTTATGTTTTGTATAATACACCTTATAGCCTGAAGGTACACAACGTTTTAAATAATCTTGTGCATTAAACAAAGTTTGTGGACACTGGACCATCAGAAAGCAGAGGCATCGCTATCTCAGCCACCCATATGGACAGTTTTGGATTTTGGAATATTTCAGGTTTTGGAATTCTGGGTAAGGGAGACTTGACTTGTATTATTAGGATTAAAAAAAAAAAACGGGCTTCGATTGTGAAAGTTTTTCCCTTTTGTTGGAGAAGCTGTGTCTCCTGCAGTCATCCATCAGTGGACTGAAGAAGACAAGGCAGCTGACTCACTCCATAGAAGAGACACTGATAGTCTCCTTCATGCTGCAAAATACAACAAAATCCCAAACCTAAGAAAGAGCCATACCTTTATTGGTCAGCTGAAATGCACAAAATACACCATGCAAGCTTTAGAAGCTCCATTGGCTTCTTCATCAGGCAAAAGATGTAAAAGAAGCCGGTGGAGCTTTGGAAGCTTGCATGGTGTATTTTGTGTATTTTATTTGGCCAATAAAGGTATCACTCTTTTGTGGTTTTGGGATTTTGTTATACAGTCAGACCTCTGCATCCACAGATTCAAGCATCCATGGCTTGAAAGTATTAATATATATATATATATATATATTCCAAAAAGCAAGCCTTGATTTTGTCATTTATATAAGGATCACCATTTTACTATGTCATTGTCTTTGATGGCAGTTGAACATCCGCAGATTTTGGGATCCACGGAGGGTCCTGGAGCCAAAACCCCAGCATAAAACCAAGGGCACACTGTGTTTTGTTGCATGGACGACATGGCTTTCTACCCTTGAATATGTTTTCTTCATGTAGGACATCGTATAATCACCCACTTCATCAAACTAATTTTATTGGCCCACTTGTAATTGTCTGTGTGTCAGTTGGGCACTTAACACTTGCACTTTTCGCCTCCTTAAAAAAAATGTTCTCGGTCTTGGGTTTTAGAGGGAATGTAAATAGACAGAGATGCACCTGCGTCATGCAAAATCGTGTCTACAACTCTGCTTTGCATTCTCTGCATTCACTTTATCCAGAGAAGGGGGTTCTCAAGGACATCAGGTTGCATTGGCTCTAAATTAGGGCTCCAAGTCTTCATAAATAATAGAATCATAGAATCATAGAGTTGGAAGAGACCCCAAGGGCCATCCAGTCCAACCCCAATCTGCCATGCAGGAACTCTCAATTAAAGCACCCCTGACCGATGACCATCCAGCCTCTCTTTGAAAACCTCTAAAGAAGGAGACTCTGCCATACTCCGAGGGAACATCTTTCATTGTCAAACAGTTCTGACTGTCAGGAAGGTCTTCCTAATGTTGAGATGGAATCTCTTTTCCTGTAGTTTTAAACCATTGCTCCCTGTTCTGTTATCTCCACATTATCTCAAAGGAATTGATTTTCCTCTCTCTTATCCACATTCTTCACTGTCCAGCTCTTGCAGCTGTACATAGTGATGGGGAATACAGTGGCTTGGATGGTCGTCATTTTAGCGTTCAGAGTTATGTCTTTATGGTCTTGTCCAGTTCTTTCATGGCTGCCCTTCCCAATCCCAATCCCAATTCTTGACTGCAGTCGCCATTCTGATCAATGCTTGATCCAAGGTATAGGAGCTCTTTGACAGTTATTAGGAGCATACAATTCCCTTGTTGAAACAGCTGCAATGGCGACTGGTTTGTTTCCCAGCACAATTCAAAATGACCTTTAAACCCTTGCACAGCTTAGGTCCAGACTATTTGAAAGGCCGTTATTATCTCCTTATATAAACCAATGCGTGCCTTAAGATTTGCAGGGGTGGATGTCTCTCAGTCCCACCACTTTTGCAGGTGCAGTTGGTGAGGACTCATGAGATAGACTTCTCTGTAGCCATGGAACTCCCCGCCACTGGAGGACAATTGGACCCCTTCCGCCTTTCTTTCCTCCAAGCGGAGAAGACGTTCTTATTTAAGGAAGCATTTGGTAATAGCAGATAGAGCTTTTAATGGGGAAATGGGGTCATGTTTTTTATTTCATTATGTTTTCAGTGCCATGTAATGCTGTTTTTAAATTGTGTTCTTAAATTAGTTAGTTTAATTGTATTTTAACTTTTATATTAAGAGTTTTTAATTGTATTCTGTTGTTAAGGGGTAGCTAATAGTCCAGAGGACGGGATCAGTATTCAAAATGGCCTAAGGCCATTTTGAATACTAACAAACTAACAAAATGAATTTCAACAGGGAGAAATGTAGGAAACTACAGTGGCACAGTGGTTTGAGTGTTGGATTACAACTCCTGAGACCAGGGTTTGAATCACTGTTTGGCCATGAGACTCACTGGGTGAACTTGGGCAAGTCACATGCTCTCAGCCTCAGGGGAAGGCAATGGCAAACCTCTGAACAAATTTTGCCCCATGATAGGGTCGACATAAGTCAGAAACAACTTGAAGACAAACAAAAACAACAGACACTTGAACAGTAAAAATGAAAATCACCAATGGGTGAATAAGATGGGTGAGAGCTGGCTTGACAGCAGTCCATGCAAATAAATCTAGGCGTCCTAGTAGATCACAAGTTGAACCTGAGCCAAGAGTGTGATGCAGCAGCTAAAAAGGCTAATGCAATTCTAGGCTGTTTCAATAGAAGTATAGTGTCCAGATCGAGGGAAGTAATAGTATTGTATAGTATGGACACAGTATTCCAAGGTGAGGTCTGACCAAAGGAGAATAGAGTGGCACTATTACTTCCTTTGATGGCCATCTGTCCAAGGAAGGGCTTGGATGGAGGGCACCCACAAATTAATATGTTTAGGGGACTTTTAATAGCTCAAATTATGTTTTGGCCAGAGCAGCAGGTGATCTTGGGATCGCAATACTATGTATAATGGTTCAAAATCACACAGAACTCCAGAGGCAATTCCAAATGGGTGTTGTTGTTTTATTAAGAAAAATAGTGAACACATACACACACATGCACACACATGCACACACACAAGAACTAACAAAGCAAAAGTGGGAGAAGGTGAATAGTGGAGGCCTTGCTAATGGTGATCTTGAAGCATGGTTCAAATCAAAGGACCTCCAGAACGGAGAGGACTCAAGGCAAGTGGGGTGGCCGGCTTATTGAGAAGCCTAGTCAAACCGACAGAGTGTCTGCCTGTTTACAAGCTGGACCACATTGCTAGTGTCTAGGTGGTGGTATATATACTGAAAATCATGTCCCGGGGCAGTAATCAAGGACTGAATGGATTAACTCTCTGCTAAATGGTTTTCCAGGAGGAAAGGAATGGTTGGAAGCTGTAGTAAATGTTTGGACATTTGGTGTGAATATCTCAGACACAAGCAAACGCCTTACTGCTGGAATCATAGAATCATAGAATCATAGAGTTGGAAGAGACCCCAAGGGCCATCCAGTCCAACCCCATTCTGCCATGCAGGAACTCCCAATCAAAGCATCCCTGACAGATGGCCATCCAGCCTCTGCTTAAAGACCTCCAAGGAAGGAGACTCCACTACTCTCCGAGGGAGTGGAGAAGTAGAATCATAGATTCATACAGTTGGAAGAGACCACAAGGGTCATCCAGTCTAACCCCATGCCATGCCTTTGTCTGTGTATGCATAGCCATCTCCTTTGGCCAAAGTCTCATCATCGCCCTTCCATAGACAGAAGAAATTATGTTGATGTTTTGGGGAATCTCATTGTGGCGGGTGCCTGCCTTCCTCCCTTGCTGGAGCCCATTGGATTGTGGCCATGTTTCTGCCTTGAGGAAATTCACCGGTCACTCGCCTCAGTGTTCCTTTTAATATTAGATTGATATCAAGTGTGAGAGGGGTGACTGGGCAAGAGTTGTGTCTTCCTGCATGGCAGAAGGGGGTTGGAGTGGATGGCCGCTGGGGTCCCTTCCAATTCTAGGATTCCAGGATTCTTTGGTTAAGGTATGGTAGTAATTCTATGATTCTAAGGAGCCAAGGCCAGTGCCAGGCTTGGCAGGATGGAGCACAAGGTGTCCCCCTTCAGTAAACTCTCAATTGCCTCACCAACCGGAGAGAAGCGGCAGAAGGAATGGGTTAAGTATAGCCCCTGTTTCGGTTTCAACTCAGGCCTCATCTGTACTGTAGAAATAATACAGCTTGACACCACTTTAACCCAATGCTATGGAGTTCTGGAAATTGTAGTTTTGTGAGAGACTTTGTGTGCACTGGGAGAAAGGTGAGAAATATATTAAATTAAAAAGTATTTTAGGTATGTGTATGACAATCTGTAGCAGAGACCTGGCAGAGAGAGAGGAAGAAGGTTAAGGATTGTCTCCTTCTCTTTCCCAGCATTTCCACTTCCCTGCAAGTTGCTTTGTCCACTTTTTACAGGGGAAATTGTGAGTCTGGGGTCCATTTCCTCAGCCCTTGACCTTCTTCCCTGGTGCAAGTCCTGTCCTCTTTGCCATTGGGCTTGTGCTTCTTTCCCAATTGTAGGGCAATGGGGATGGGAGGATGCGGCGCCCGAAAGGGAGCGCGGTGCCTGCGTTCTGCTCCTGTCTCAAAGGCTGCTTCTGCCCTGAATCTGTCAAGCCGTCTTTTGCTGGGACTTGGGGAGGAGGAGGAGGAGGAGGAGGAGGCACATCCATCCCAACCGTGGCCTTCAGCGGCAGTGTGACAGAGATGCAGATGCTCCGGTTTGTGGGAAGGAGATAACTGGGTGCAAAAGGGGTTTTTTGGGGGGGGAGAGGAAGGCAGATTGTGGAGAAGAAGGGTGTGAATTATGTCATCGAATCATAACATTGGAAAGGGGTCATCTAGACCAACCCTCTGCCAGTGTGGGCGAAGGTGCATGTGGATTATCGCACGGAGGCTTCATCCTCCCATCCCCATTGCCCTACAAGGGGGAAAAGACTGCAGAAATAGTCCAATTTGACCCCATTTTAACTGCCCTGGTTCCATGCTGTGGAATCCTGTGTATTGTAGTTTCTCGTTGCCCCAGAGAAAAATGTCTCACAAAACTGCAAATCCCAGAATTACATAGCATGGACCCAGGGTAGTTAAAGTGGGCTCAACGTAGATAATTCTGCAATGTGGATAGAGCCAGAATCATAACTTTGGAAGGGATTCCAGGGGTCATATAGACCGACCCCTGGGAGAAGGAAGATTTAAATTATCTTACAGAATCATAATGTTGGAAGGAATCCAAGGGATCATCTAGAACAGTGGTTTCCAAATTTTAATCTTCTAGGTGTTTTGGAAGCCCTAGCCAGGTTGACCAACAGTCAAGAATTCTGGGAGATGAAGTTTAAGACATCTGGAGGCCCAAAGTTTGGGAACCACTGTTCTAGACTAACCTTCTGCCAGTATGGGAGAAGAGACTAAGGAGAAGTGAAGGCAGAAACAGTAGAAAAACTCACTCTCCCCAACATCACACTCTTCATGGATTTGGATCATTTTGGCCAGTTCAGAGTTTCCCTGCAATTATGGCCATCTGAAGAATGAGGAAAGAAAAAAGCAGAGACATACATTAGATAGACTGTAAAATACAGCATGGAAGCATGGAATCATAGAATTGGAAAGATTCCTAAGGATCATTTAGTCTGACCCAAAGCCATGGTGAATCTCCTGTGAATAAAAGTTGCTAATACAGGTGCATTATTCCGAATTGCAAAAGGAGGGATAGTTTGCAGAGACACATGGGGAGATACACCTATAGTTGCACACTGTATTCTGCAGAAGGGTAGTGTTGCACAACCACCATGCAACTACGTAAGTGTAAATTTATACTATACAAATGCAATGTAGAATCTTGGCCTGGGTCTCCAGAAGAGCTTACTCCTTTATCCTGACACAGAAACACACCTCAATGTGGCAACTGGTTATACTGCCAGGAGGGGAATTTTCACAGTGGTTGTCCATAAAAGTAACTTCTCCAAGCTGATCAAGTGGGGTGGGAATTGGGGAGAAAGTTGCAAGCCAAAGCAGTTGAGGGTCCTCTGGATTTCCAGGGCTTCAATTCCAAAAAGAAAAATGACTATTTCCCCAAAAGGATGGAGGATGATGGAGGCCGTTTGTACCCACCTGCACACCAGCCTTTGTATTATTCATTTTGCTTCTCAAGTCAGAGTTTCCTCCCTCATCCAGCTTTTCAACATCTATAGATCATTCTCTTATTTTCCTTTTTTATGCAGCCTAGCAATCAAGCCTTGGAAATTTGCCTTTCTCTTTCCCTCTCTCTCTCTCTGTATGCCAGCCCTAAAAATTAGAACTGGGATCATGCGCATGGTTTCCTCTCCCCCATTTTGCATAGCCGTGGCAGGTGCTGGAAGCAGGGCTGGGCAGATGCAGTTTTTCATTTTCAAGGAGGGAGAAGTGTCAACAGCAATTACGCAGAAGGCCGAGTGACAACTGGGGTGCATAATGGTCCACGGCGATGCAACGATTTTCATTTTGCACGCAACTCCTTCATTTTCATAGGCAAAAGCAGTGATTCATGGCTGGATGGGCCCTGTGACCGGAGAGGCCACAGCTTGCTGTTGTTTGCATTGGGAAAAGCAGGCAGGAGGGTCTCAAAAGCTTCATTTTCATGGGCAAGGGCCTGCATTGAGGAGATGGAGCACTGCTTTATGTTCACAGAGTTACACAACTGAGAATCGAGATGGATTATGATTATGGCAATGACTTCTTTAATTTGTATGAATGTAACTCAGGGTGTAAGCCAGAGTGGTATAGTGGCTTGAGCGTTGGAGTAGGATTCCTCCAGGAGACCAAGATTTGAGTCCCCACTCAACTGTGGGAAGCCACTGGGCGACTTTGGGCAAGTCACACTCTCTCAGCTTTCATAGAATCAGAGTCGGAAGAGACCCCAAGGGTCATGCAGTCCAACCTCCTGCCATGCAGAAATGTACAATCAGAGCACACCCTTTGATAGATGGCCATCCAGCCTCTGTTGAAAGACCTCCAAAGAAGGAGACTCCACCAAAATCTCCAAGGGAGCATTTTCCACTTGAACAGTCCTTACTATCAGGAAGTTCCTCCTAAAGTTTAGGTGGAATCTCGTTTCCTGGCGCTTGCATCCGTTGTTCCATATTTCCTATTCTCTGGAGCAGCAGAAAACAAGCATGCTCCCTCCACAATATGACACCCCTTCAAATACTTAAACAGGGCTATCATATCACTTCTTAACCTTCTCTTCTTTACAGGAAGGAAGTGGCAAACTGCTTCTGAAAAAGTTTAATCTGGGTCTGGAGACGTGCCAACCAGTCCTGGATGGGGTTAAAATACAATACATTGGTCCCTCCTTATACACAGGGGATCCATTCCAGACACACACGCACACGTATGGGGAAAGAC